AAGAGGGGATATTTCAGATTTTTTATTAACAGATTTTCAGTGGCATTTAATTAAAGATCCTTTAGTTAAAAAGATAAAGTTTACTTCCATGTATATTGAAAATCTTGATGACTTATGTATCCTTGACTTTTTTGTTCTTTTTTTTTTTCTTTTAGTCTTCAGTAAGGCAAGGCTTGCAGTATTTTTTTTTCCTTATACTATTTTTACCCATAATGATATTATTTCCTTTGTATAACCAAAAATGATTGGCTCTGAAAGTGAGTCCCAAACATCTAGTAATGCCACCTAGCGCTGATAGCGAGGACAAGGGGTGGCGAATTTCCTCTGGGCAAACTCAAACTATGGTTTCCTTAAGACTCTGGTGCAATCTTAAAATTATTTAAAGATTTTCAGGAAACTCAGACTCTACAGTTAATTCTATTGGACTACTTTCTGAAATGTTAAAACACGTGTATTTGCTTCACACTGCTACCTGTGTCAGGTTTACTTTGTGGTGATGAATGTGATTTTTCCTCCATGCGAGTAAAATATTTTATTTTTTTTCTGGGTCAAGCTTTTATAAAAAAGGGAGAACTGACACCTGTAAATAAGAGTTTCCTCAAGATACAAGATCATCTCTGATATTGTCTTCTGTTCACCATACACTAGAGCCAAATGGGAAAACTGCTTATTTCTCTTCACTTCCTGTAGAATTTTACTTCAAGGGACCATGGAATACCCTTGGAAATTGCTGTTTACTGTATTTAATACCAGTGAGCTAATAGATTTCAAAAAGGAGGAAAGAGAATCTGCTAAAAGGGGCAAAAATCAAACTGCTATACCAGCTCTTCCTTTTTAAAAAGCATTGACCCTGTTCATTTAAAACAGACAAACACAGGCAGAACACGCACTGAGGATTTTGTTGTCGTTGTTGTTCTTACTTAAAATCAAGAAGTTCAGTCATTTCTGTTCATCACTGGGCCCACTGGAGAGTTTAACTCACAGAAGGGCTCTACCCTGGTAGATATTACCATTTCCTGCCATGATCATTTATAACACAAACATTCCAAGTCAGCAGTCTCATATATTTTTGCAGCATGCACATTTGTAATTGAAATCACAAACTCTCAGCATATTTAAGACAGAGGCTTCAGAAATTTTATCAATATGGGACCTTTCAAAGCTCCTCATTTTTAAAGAAAGATCTACTGAGCTCCATTGATGAAGCTAGAACCAGAAAATATCCTTTGTCCTGCTTGGTTAGTGAAACACAACAGGAACTTGGAGTTACGAATATATGTCATAAAACATCTCCAAGGAATGAGGAAGATGAGATCTTTGATTCCTGCTACCAGTTCGCTTTCATTGTTTAGCTTTCTTCTGACTTACCAGGAAAACTTTCCTGCATTTTCTAGGGAAAAATAAAAATTGCTAATTAGGA